CAAAAAAACCGAAACAAAATTAACCAAAAAAAACCCCCAGAAAACCCAAAAAAAAAACCAAAACCCCAAAACCAAACCAGGTGAAAACACCCCGAGCCCCGCAGGAAAACCCCAATTACCGCAGGATTTAACCCCTTAATGGGACATTTGTAGGATTTGTGGCCGTTCCCATAACGGGACATTTGTAGGATTTATGGATAACGGGACATTTGTAGGATTTACGGCCGTTCCCATAACACTACAGCCCTGAGCCATGGGGATTTTGGGGTAAAGGGGATCGGGGTTTGGGATCTCATTGTCCTGGATTGGGATTTTTGGGGTGGATGGGAATGGGGTTTGGGATCCTCCCTCTGTCCTGATTTGGGATTTTTGGGGTGGATGGGAATGGGGTTTGGGATCTTGCCATACTGGATTGGGATTTTTGGGATGGATGGGGATTTGGGATCCCGCTGTCCTGGATTGGGATTTTTGGGGCAGAGGGTTGATGGGTTTTGGGACCCCGCTCTCCTGGATTGGGATTTTTGGGGTGGATGGGGATTTGGGATCCCACAGTCCTCAATTGGGACTTTTGGGGTGGATGAGAATGGGGTTTTGGGATCTCATTGTCCTGGTTTGGGATTTTTGGGGTGGAGGGGGATTTGGGATCTCGCTCTTCTGGATTGGGATTTTTGGGATTCCGATGTCCTGAATAGGGATTTTTTGGGGTGGATGAGAATGGGGTTTTGGGATCTCGCTATCCTGGTTTGGGATTTTTGGGGTGGATGGGATTTGGGATCCCACAGTCCTGGATTGGGATTTTTAGGGTGGATGGAAACTGGGTTTGGGATCCTCCCACTGTCCCGGTTTGGGATTTTTGGGGTGGAGGGGGATTTGGGATCTCACCATACTGGATTGGGATTTTTGGGGCACAGGGTTGGTGGGGTTTGGGATCTCGCTGTCCCGGATTGGGATTTTTGGGATTCCGATGTCCTGAATAGGGATTTTTGGGGTGGATGGGAATGGGGTTTGGGATCCTGTTATCCTGGATTGGGATTTTTGGGGTGGATTAGAACGGGTTTTTGGGATCTTGCCATACTGGATTGGGATTTTTGGGATGGATGGGGATTTGGGATCCCGCTGTCCTGGATTGGGATTTTTAGGGTGGATGGGGATTTGGGATCTCGCTGTCTCGTATTGGGATTTTTGGGATTCCGCTGTCCCAGTTGGGGATTTTTGGGGTTGATGGGATTTGGGATCTCACTGTCTCGTATTGGGATTTTTGGGGTGGAGCTGTCCTGGTTTGGGGTTTTTGGGGTAGAGGGGGATTTGGGATCCCACTGTCCTGAATTGGGATTTTTGGGGTGGATGGAACGGGGTTTTGGGATCCTCCCTCTGTCCCGGTTTGGGATTTTTGGGGTGGAGCTGTCCCGGATTGGGATTTTTGGGGTGGATGGGGATTTGGGATCCCGCTGTCCTGGATTGGGATTTTTGGGATCTCGCTCTCCTGTATTGGGATTTTTGGTGTGGAGGGGCCGTTTTCTCGGTGTAAACCCCGACTGTGCGGGATCGGTCCCCTGCATGGCCCCGCTCCCTTTTGGGGTTTTTCCCCATTGTACCCGACCCCTCCCCCATTAAACATGGACCCTTTTCCACCTCGGCCTCCCGGGTCGTTCTTTGGGGTCGCTCTGAGCAGAGACCCCGAGCTGGAG